GGCATAGATTTTTGTTATTGATGTTTCATTTAGTTTTTATTAGCTGTAGAATTGTGACTACCGAACATTTAATTTTGTCTCATGTTTTAGCACTATCATTATATCCTAAAAATTCTTCCTTGTAAGCTTACTTTTTGTTGGCTGCATAATATCCTAAGGTGCAAGTGTACTGTAACTTACTTTACTAATCCTGTCATTGGACATTTAGGTTGTTTTCAGTTTTGTTTCATTTTGCCACTTTAAATAATGCTGTGTGGTGAGGTTTTTGATGCGTTACACTTTGCACCCTTTCTGGGTTAGTTCAACACACTGGGCTTACTCTGAAAGATATTGTGAGAGATTGGAGGATAAGCCAGACACAATCCCTTCCCATAAAATGCAGATATAAATAACTTTAATCCAAAGCAGGTTATAGTTGCTGTAAGCAGACAACCAGAACTGGACTACAGAAGAGTTTTGCTTGGGCTAAATGGGAGTTTATGAAAGTCGCACGAGAAAATTTGGGACTTTGCATCCACAGCCCAGGGTAAATCAAGGAGGAATGGGCAGTCTAGTTAGGGGGGTGGGTTTGGATGGGTGACCCGTGCCAGCAGGCGGGCATCACCCTAGGCAGGAGTAGTGAGTGGCTTTGTTCTCAGTGCTAAGTCAGAAGATCAGCAGTGGCTGCCGGGGGTGCTGAGTGGAGGTGGGTGGGGGGTGACTCAGCAGGAAACAGTAGCAGCATCTGCCGTGGACCCAAGTTGGTGGAGAAGCAGGGACAGCACCCCAGCTGACTCGGCCATCCCCAGCCTGAGATGCTAACTCAGGGCTGGCATCGCTTGGCCAATGCCCAAAACTGTGTTCCTTAGGTTCGCTTTGGTCTGTTCACATCAAGATTCATGATGGGTTCAGACATCGCATTAGATGGTGTGTTTTGAGACCCTCTTGTGGGGGGCCTTCGACCTGAAGAGACAGAGAGAGTTGCCCATCCCCCGAGCTGGGAGAAGAGGCGAGCAGGGAGCTGAGAGGCTGGGAGAACCTTCGCCAGCCTTGAGCCCTGGGCCCTCTCCCTGCTCCGTGGCCATGAGAGGCCAGACCTGTTTTCCTTCCCTGCCCATTTCCAGTCCTTGTCTGTTTGACAGACATGCTCACCTCTGGCTATGTCACCAAATTGGAAGCAGCAGGAGGGGTGTGCATGGGGGGCATGGGCCTGTCTTGGACGTCTGTCCCCCGGCCCCATCAGCCTGCTTGGGGGCCCCTCTGCAGCCCCTGGCACTCTTGCCTGTCTGTCTGGTTTCATGTGGTCCTTCCTTTAGCCCCTGCAGGTGCCATGACTCAACAGTCCCAGGAGGGCTTCGACAGGAGCATGGAGGATGCCCTGCAGTGGATGCAGGCTGTGCAGGAGCGGCTGCAGGTCAATGACAACACCCAGGGGCCCCGCGCGGCCCTGGAGGCCAGGCTGCGGGAGACCGAGGTATGCAGAGGCGAGGCCGTGGAGGGGCCTGCCACCTTGGCTGCGTCCCTCCTCTTCAGACCTCAGGTTTACTGTCTGTTAAATGACAGGGGTGGATTAGACCAGTTTCACAGTAAGAAAGAAAGCATTTCACTCTTGCCTTCGGGTGAAAGGGAGCAGCTGGTGCCATCTCCCCCTACCAATGGGACCTTCCTCCCAGGTTCTGCGGTCTCTGCTGTGATTCCTGCACTAGCTGTTAAGCACATCAACCTGTTTGCTACAGTGACAGGGATATGGGTTCCAATCCATTTCTGACATTTAGCAGCCATGTGGCCAGAAGCGAGCCCCATGCCCTCACGGAACCTTATTTTCCCATCTGTAAAGCAGGGGAGGAATCCCTCACCCCTTGTGTTGCCGGCAGGGGAGGCTTGTGGTCAGAGCCGTCTGTAAGGGTGACTGGACAACACGCCGCTCCTGGGAGGCAGGAGTCGCAGAGGTTGAGAGCCTGGATTCCAGGGCTGGCAGGCCTGGGTTCCAATCCCTGCTAGGGCTATGGCACCTTGGGAGAGTTTCCCAGAGCTCCCGAAGCTTCTGCTTGCTCCCAGGGAAGCAGGCCTGGGTTCCAATCCCTGCTAGGGCTATGGCACCTTGGGAGAGTTTCCCAGAGCTCCCAGAGCTTCTGCTTGCTCCTGGGGAAAGTGATAGTTGCTGCCTTGGTTGAGGGAGGGAAGATGAAGGCGAACAACTTGATGTGCGTGG